AAGTCAGTAACATCAGATATGACGTCATCATCACTGTGATACTGGTTCCAAGCCAAATGTTTTTTTCATGTTGAGGTGGTAATCAGATGGGGCCAAATCAGGAGAATAGGGAGGGTGGGTGATCAACCAGTTCAGTCACACACAGCAGCCATTGAAATCAAGATTTGTATGCTGGAGCATTGTTGTGATGAAACAAGACTCCTTTTGTCAGTTTTCCTGGGTGTTTGGTCTTGATAGCCTTTTATAACTGCCTCAGCAAGTTTATATAGTACTCTCCATTGATGATGTGATCCTTTTGAAGATAGTCAATAAAAACAAAACCCTATTTCTGCAGGTACTTGATAACATCATGATGCCAAATTTGGTCTATTTTCAAGAGAAGTCACTACTAGTTACTTTTGAAGTCTTCTTTAAACAGTTAGATGTTAGCTTACCTGGAAAGAAATGGTGCATTTGTTAATAATAAGAGTTCAAATTACTGCATGCAAGATTTCACAGCTCTAGCATCATTCCTTCATAGTTAACCTATGAACTTTTCAGCCTACCCTTGTACCTGGAAAGAAACAATGCAGTTATTAATAAGAGTTCAAATTAATGCATGCAAGATTTCACAGCTCTAGCATTACTCCTTCATAGTCAGCCTATGAACTTTTCAGCCACCCTCGTATATCTTAAGGAAAATTAATTTATGGGTCTTATTTTTGTCTTTTCTTTTTTTTCTCTTTTGTTTTCAAGGTTTTTATTAATTCTAGTATCTGTGTGTGTGTATGCATTTGCTTCAAAAAAGTGGCTCCAAGATCTGACCATGGCTACACATGCTTGGACCTGGTTTCTCTTAATGGTGATACTGTGAGATATTGCTGAAGCCTCTTTGATGAGTCATAATGATGTTATGTTCCAAAGTGGCTTACAACCATATGTTGATGCACTGGTTCTCATAGGATCACCTCAGTTAAGCAATTTCAAGCCTGGTCAATACCTAAATAAGTGACCTCTTCGGAATACCAGGTGCTGTAAGTTTGGATATGTAAGTAGTATAATGGATAATGGCTTGGAATTGGAAATGGGAGAGCCAAGTTCCAATTCCAATTGTATATGTTATATTCACTTGTACACGAATACCATTTGGAAAGGTATGAATCTCTCTCTCTTCTTTTCTCAGCTATGGGTTAATTAGTTGGACTTGTATCAGTAAATCATTATCTCTAAAAAATGAATTCTTATAATCTAAAAACATTTTCTGGCTTTAAGTAACTTGCAACAGGTTGATAAACCTAAAAAGAAAAAAAAATCAATTAAGGCCAAAAACCATACCTAACACCATGGTTATCATTTGATAGTTGTATGAAATCATTTATATTCTCACATACACTCACACTAACTCAAAATATGTTTATAAGTTGTATTTCACATATACAATGTTTGATGGGTAAATTGTCACCATTTTATATTTTTAATTTCAAGCATGTTGTGTTGTTTGTTTTTGATTTTGTTGACTGCACAGTATGGTAGGGTCAATTGGGCAACGTCTGAGAGAAAAAGAGCACCGTGACATAATTCACTCAGCCAGAAATTTTTTTGTGTAATTTTGGTAAATATATCTGTTAAAATGAGATGTTATTTTCATTTTTGTGTAATTTAGATGACAATTTATCCATCCTGTATGTAAAACAAAGTGCGACGTAAATTTTAATTTATAAATAAATCCAAAGGATATAAGCTGAAAAAATAGTTGATTGATACAATGACCCATATACCCAAATAAACTATTCTATTATTTTACAACTTGGTATTTGTTCCTTAATATTCTATAACCTTTAGTTTTTCATTGATTAATTTTCTTAACTTTTCTACTGTTTTTATTGCCCCTCAGACATCTTTGCTGGAATATTGTCTTCCATTCTCATATCTCTTTTAATGATGACTTACAACATTTTTATTGGATTAATATATTGAGAGGCCATTCTATTAATTTGCTGTCTTTAAAACCTTTTTTTTAGTAATTTGGAAAATGGCCAGCATTACAGAATGTAAAGAAACATGAATATATTGTGACTTGTATTACTGAAAAACATTTTTTGAAAAACTTGGAATATTTCTCTGCATTTATCTTTGTGCCACCAATTATGAAAAAAGCACCATGACGCAATTCACCCAGCCAGAAATTTGGAAATAGCATGCTGTACTGCTTGGCATTCATGCCAGAAGCTCCAATACAAACATTTCAGAGTGTTTGGGTGTCAATCTGAGAAAAGTGCAGAGGATTTGGAAAGAGTTGCAAGAGTCTAATGGTGATTATGAAGGTGTTTGGAGCCATTACTAGTGATGGCAATGTTATGCCTCCATTCATCTGTCAACAGGTCCTCAGACTCAACCTGGAGACACATCAAGTGCCTTGAGGAGGTAGTGATGCCCTGGGTCAAGAGGGTGGCTGCTGGAAGACCCTATGTCTAGCAACAAGACTCTGCACCATGACACACAAGCTGGAGAATCCAGTCATAGCTGTCAGACAATTTCTGCGACCACATCACCCCATTACATCTGGCCACCTAACTACCCAGATTGAAACCCTCTTGATTATTATGTGTGGGGTACATTTGAGCAAGAGACCAACAAAACTCCTTGTAACACCAAAGATGAACTGAAGGCAAGAATTATGGCAGCATTCATCAACTTAAACAAGGAGACCATCCAGAAAAGTTGCAGGAGACACTGAAGTTGTCTGGAGGACGTGATTGAAGCCAATGGCAATTTTATTGAATATTAATTAATATTTAATTATCTTTAATATTTCAAGTTATTTTTGTGTAATTTTGGTAAATATATCTGTTAAAATGAGATGCCAGTGTTTTCATTTTTGCATAATTTAGATGAAAAAACATCCATTGCATCCTGTAGATATTTCGCATTTGTGCATTTGATTTAGTCTATGGCAACATCATTTGTCTGGGTAGCAAGCACAAAAAGTTATTTTTGTTTTTTTTTTTACTTTTCTCTTTAATTAATATATGACTAGGTCTTCCTCCGCAATCATGTGCATGATACAAAATCTTAATGTGTTCAAACAATTCTGAGTGAGTTCAGAATCATCATACTTGATCATAGTCTAAAACATTCACTTTTTACACCAGTAATGAAATCTTTATTTCCCAGTGTCATCCAATGCATATTTAATAAAAATGCTTTCAAGATATAGCTGATTGTAAGATTCTTTTGACTTTTGTACATTTTTAAATATGTATTTAATTTATAATAATCTGAGTCTGTTCTCTTTAAGTAATAACTATATATAACATTACATCATATATGTTTAGACTTGTGTTTTATGTTGAATACCATAGATAAAACATGTAAGTAAAAAGGAAGTTTTAAAGATGATGAGAACAAAAAGAACACATATCAGAAAGAGTTGAAATTTCTACAACATATAATGAGGAAAATTTGACATTTAAGAGACAGAGGGAGGCAGTGGGTCATCTACTTGATGACCTTATATGAATAGATGGCAGAACAGGGTGTGGGAGGGAGGGTAAAAAAACACCTTCCAAAGAGCTACAAAGGGTAGAAAGTCGTGGAGGGTTATGATACATATAAATCTTAATGAAACAATAAAAATAAGAAAAAAGTTAACATTTTTATCTTTCTGTAAGAAATCAAGCCATACCTCTTAATCTGAGATAGTGGCCTTAGGAGGTAACATAAAAAATTCTGTTAAAAAAACTCTTATCAAAATGGTAATATTGGCTATTTCCATACAAAAAAAAATTTAGCATTTATTGACCGAGCAGCCAGTAGTGCATTCAGTTGAAATTTATAAAATATTTCTCTTAAAACATTTAGGAAAACAAGTTTCTCAAATCCAGTAGTTTTGATCACTCTTTCTAGTATTGATGGGGGTTTCCTTCGAAACCTACTATTTGAAGTGGTGTGGAATGTTAACGTCTTGATTATGTCATTATTTAAAACCTTTTGCCTATATCCTTCCTTTGTTGGTTGCTAGAAATATCTGCCCACATTATTTTAACAGCTCCCATCCAATGGATCATTTTTGTGACATCATCCTCATCTTTATGTCAATTACTATAACTCCCTACACACCTTGACTGCCTCTCACTTTAGGTCATTGCCATGAGAGAGAGGGAGAGGATTGGTTGTTGCTTGTACTGTGATAATAACATTTATTTCCATTTAACAACTGAATGAAATATTGGCTATAAATGTACTTCCTTTCCATATCCTCCTGGGGGGTTAGGTCATTCACTGTTAGTTTTATCCATTTTTAGCACATTTCACTTAATAGTTAAAATTCTTGGGCTTTTCCAACAAGTTTAGTTCATATTTTTTTGTGCTTGTTGCCTGTTGTGCTTTTAGAGTTCTCTTGTCTACATTGAGGTATTTATTTTTGATATTTACTAAACTTAGCACAAAGTCAAATAGGAGAAATTAGAAACTGGGAAAGATTGTGTTGTGCCAGTCTTCTAAGTGAAGAGAGCCTAATTGCTTGCCGTGGAAAACCTTTAGGATTAATTGTCTGCTTAATTAATTTATTTTCTAGCTTGATGCTGTTGAGAAATCAAATGGAGGCTGTAGAACTATTGGATTAGAACATTTTTTTAAATTTTTTAATCTCTATCAATGCTGAGGTCATAGAAAATGTTGGGAAATTATATCTAACCACACAATTTCTATTTCAGGTGTGTTTTTTGTAACCCCCCCCTCCCCCCCCCAACCCAAAATTGGTTTTGTTACTTATGAATTCAGAAATTATTTTTAAATCTTTCAAGTTTTAATGAATTTTTTTTTTTTTTTAAGATTTATTAGTTAAATTGTTAATTTAATTGATCACTTTGATTTTTAAAATGATATGATTTAATAACAATGTTTTCGTATTTTGTCAGACACATAACTATTAAAATATCCCTAAACTTTTGTGGCTGTTTTGGTTATACAAATACAAAATGTCATTTATAAAGGAATATTTTTCTTTTCTCTATTTTCAGCCTTTTTAATTCTGTCTCACAAGATGTCACCACACAAGACAAGCACCATGAGTCTCTTCCGGGGCTTTCCATTGCTTTTCTGCCACCTGCTGCTTCATTTTTTGACGTTAACCCTTGCATCAAGCTGTGAGAAAGGACAGTACTACAATGCTTCCCTCAGTAAATGCATGAAATGTTCAGAATGTCCACTCAATCAGATTGTCCGACAACCATGCAAGCAAAATGAGGATATCACTTGTGGACCTTTCATAGAATTCAAGTTTTCATCATTCAGTCAGAAAGATGGTGACTACAATGATCATAATCTGCCTTCAGACTCTATAATTGCAGGAAATCGGCACAGTAGCCGGGAGAACAAAACAAAATATATGAACTCGATTGAGTTTTCACATATAGCTGTTGATTCCTTTGGCCATTTAGGTGTCCACAATGCAGCTCCAAATTCTGGTATCTCTGCAAATCAGTACGAGACTGATAGGGAATCCGGACACAGGGCAGTGACCAATCCACGTGTGGAAGAATATGAAAGGATTACCAAAGAGGATAGTAAATATTGGCGTGATTTATCGTTTGCATTGATTGCTGTGTTTTGCCTGATTGTGCTTGTGGCTACTGTAGTGATCTGGTACCTGTGTCGTCGTTGTCGATTGGCTGGGGAACACAAGATTACAGATGACTTTGATATTGGTGAGTTCTTGAATTTCATTTTTTATTTACTTCGCAACAACTTTCTTTATACTCATGTGCGCACACACACACACACACACACACACCAAGGGGTGCTCGCTTTAGAACTTAGAATTTGTAACCTGATCATACCAGGAGATGGGCGGGCAATGACTTCGGAAAAAATATCTACTATCCTGCAGATTTTGCTAGTCCAGTTTTCTTCTTGGTCTCACTAACATAGATTGTGATTAGTTGGACTGTAGAGTTGTATAGTTGGGTCTTTGTGTCTTTTTTTTTTTTTTTTAATATAAGAGCTAGACCATGCAAGTTTTAGACATTTGAATGTGTCTTCTGTTTTAACCAAGCCTCTTTTTCACGTCACTCTCTGAGGTAGACTGTCTATAGAAATGATGAGAAACCAAAATGTAATAGAAGTTAGAAATTTATCTAATTATAAACAAAATTCATTTTTAAAGAAATTAAAATTATTTGATGGTAATGACAAAAGATTGAGTGATTTATTCATTCTTTTATTTTAATTTTTCGTTTCTAACTCGTGCGTTTTTAGGAGGTAATGTCTAATCTCATAAATGCTGTTTTTGCTAGGTTAAGTTTTGGTAGTGCATGGCTTTGAGATTAGCCTTAATCTACTAAATAGTTTTGATTTAAAAGTGTATGCAATCAAATATGGCAAGTTTTATAATTATATATTATATCCCAAATCAGTTTGATTAAATTCAATCAACAAAGTTAAGTTCAATTTTTATTATATTTTCCATATAAGTTTTTGTATGGCCAGATCAAACTTGTAGAGACACTATAAAGTTCATGTTTTGTTAGACATCTTTTAATCATTATCAGGAACATTGTCATAGAGAAAATGTTTTAATAGATTCAGCCTGGCATTTTTAGGAGCTTTTAAATATACGTGTGTGTATCATATACAGATGATGTCATGGAGAACAGTGGGGAGGGGGGGCAGTAGAGAAAAAGAAATTTAGTTTATTAAGGACCACAAAGCTTTGCAGTACCAGAAGACAGATATTAAATATATATATTTTATAATCATTTTAAAATGTGGTCCCTTGTGGTGAAAGATATTGTATTTAATACATGTTTTGTTTTGTATACTGAGAATTTTGTTTTGAATCTGTCTTTACAGAAAGTTATAGTATTTTAGTATTATCTACTAATATTTGTAAAATCATATTTTGTTTTTTGTGATATTATGACTAATATGTGCATGAATTGTACTATATCTATGAGTAGCAAGTATTTCTATGAGTGTGTGGTGTTTGGGTGACCAATGTAAAAATTTAATCCAAATAGTATTATTAATGTTGAAGATGCAGTCTTTTAGAATGTATGTAAATTCATAAAACCTGTTTGTATCAAGGGTGAATTTTGAACTTCAGTCTTATTTTAGTAATTATTTGGTTAGATTTTTTTAAACTTATAAATGATAAATCTAAGGTATTTATTAAAATCATTTAGATATATGAACCAATGAATTTTATTTTAATAGCTTTTTCATTTTTAGTTAGCTTGCATCTTGTTATGGTAGAATAAGTTGATATTTTTATATCAGGTTAAAATATTGTTACGTTTTTGTTTATATAGCTTAATTCTTTATATATATATATATATGTATTGTGTATTTAGGCAGCAAATTCTTTTAGGCATGTCTGATTGAATAAATTTCAAACAGTATGTCTGCTTGCTTTTATATTCACAAATACTTTTCTGTATATTACAATTAAATAAGGCAAGAAATACACTGTAACTTTTATTTCCCAAGTACTTTCCATCTCTTCCTGAGATCATCAGGGTGCAACTGGTAAGGCAAAAACTGTAATAAAAAAAATAAAATAAAATTAATCATATATTATAAAAAAATACAATACAACCAATTTAATTATTCACAATGACTCCTCCTCACCAACTAATATATTATGTAAAACCAACACTATATATATCAATTCAAATGTCCCTTGAAAGAATTTTCTCTGATAGAAAAACAATTATATATGTTAGATATACGATAACTACATTATTAAGATATCTTATTCTACACATGTCTGATCATTTATCCATTGCAAGACATTTACACCAACATTCCTGTCCACATTCATGGTATAGAAAAATACTGATTGATAACACAACTATCCTACACCCAAAAAGTAACGAATTAACACTACAGATCCTTGGAGCAATCTTCATTAAAAAAAAAATTGAAGCTGACACTGAATAGAATCAGCTATGAATACTGTAATGATGTTCTAAAATGTCTATAAAAAGAATAGTTTTCATGCTTTAATGGATGATTGACCATGACCTTCCAACATAAAAGAAAAAATTCCATAATGAATAACTATTCACCTTCAAATGTATGCTAAAGCATAACTGTCAGCCATAGCATATAAATGCAAAAAAAAAAAAAAAATTCAGTAATGTTTCATAGTTTTTGCCTTATCAGTTGCACCCCTGATGATGATCTCAGAAAGAGATGGAAAGTACTTGGGAAATAAGTGATTCTCACTGTTAGTGCATTTCTTGCCTTATTTAATTGTAATATAAGGGAAAATATTCATAAATATGAAAGGATTATCATAAAAATAAGCAGATGTAATGTTTCTAATTTATTCTCACACACACACACACACACACACACACACACACACACATATATATTGTGTGTGTGTAGGATTTATAATAGTATTTGTGAAGATGATTATACAGTGGAAAATTCATAGATGACATGTTTCACCAAGTGCGACTGCTCTCTTAGCATTCTAACCTGAAGAAGCCAAATAGAGCAGATTCAGGCTTTGGGGGACAATATTGGGACGGTACAATACTTTTTATTCTAGTACATTTATTCTAAAAGCAACTGATTTCTTAAAATAAAAAATTTAATGTTATTTCTCATGAATTGTGGTAAGCTTTTAATAAATATTCATAGTGTGTGTGCACACTTAGCAGCTATTTTTCATTCATACAAGTTTGGTTAAAAATTAACAATTTTTGTTAAAGATGTTTTTTTTTTTTACTGAAATTCATTAATATGTTAATTGCTAAATTTGATATCATTTTATTGATGGTGAATTGTTTTTATTTTTTAACAAGTTGTAGTCCTTTTTTATGGTTCGTGCCATTTTGCACTAGTGTTATTAGTAAGGGGTTTTGAAATATGGTGCTTTTTTCTGTTGTGTTTTTTGTTGGTTACTGTGTGTGTGTGTGTGTATATAGCCACACCGATGAGCTGTGAAACGGTGAAACAATCTGTCTGTGGATGACACACACACACACATATATATATATATATATATAATGAACATTGAAGTCAACACTCAGGGGTGACAGGCTGTTTCATGCTAGATGCAATCGTCAGGCCACATATGTTGTATCACCGTTTTTTTTGAACAGGAGTAGAGGTTTATCCCTTGCTTCCTGTTTAGGGTTGAGTTTTTGGTTCCTTTTAAAGTCTTTTCCTTCTCTTTCACTTCCTGTAGCCCTTTGCATCATAGTGGCATTATCGACTTGCATGGGGGTGAATTGATTTAAAAAGTAGAGGCAAAACTGGGACACTATAAAGATGTTAAGCAATGTAAAATATAACAAAATATACAAAACGGAGCCAGTATAAAATATTAGTAAAACAATACTCCTGTTACTGCTCACTGTAACTTAGTTTCAGGTGAACACTTAGATGTTGATGCTGTTGTCTCACAATCTTCTAGCAGTAAGATACTTAGTTCCTCATTCAATTATATTTTATTTACACACACACACACACACACACACACACACATATTTTATTGCTCTTCATAAACAATAAGAATCTATGTTGTTAACAACAAATCCCTCAGCTGTTTATTCATTTATGCAGATAGCTAAAAGAGAAGAAAATCTTTTAAAAGTACAAAACGAACAAATATGGAATAGACTCTATAGGCTCAAATGAAATTAACTTTTTCATTTAAATTATAAATTTGATTTACTTTTTCAAAATTAATCTCTATGGAAGAAAAAAAAAATTGTTGTAATTTATGAATCTTGATAAATGTCAATCTATTACTTGAAACAGAATATATTTTAGATTTTAATTATCTTTTTTGCTGGAATATTTTTAGTAAAGTTATTTTCTCTGGTGAATACCCTTTAGTCGATTCTTTTATTAGCTTCTTGCTCAAATATTTGCTAAAGTAAATAATAAAATAAAAAGATTATTTTCCGTTTTCTCAATTGATTCCAGAGAAACAATTGTAAAAAATACCAGGAAATAGGAAATATTCACTTAGTGTTTTAGTACAAATATTACCAATCCTTACATTTAGGTGTACAGTGGTTGCAAGCCTTTCCCATTTAGCATTTTATTTTTATCTAATCCCAGTCTTTTGAAAATCTTACATAAATATTGTATGCAGTATGACATGAATTGAAATCTGGGGAAGTTAGTGTTCTCAAACTGCTTTTCTGCAATACTTGATCTGATAAAGTTTTCCCAACATAATTTTCTCTTTCTCATTAGACATTGATAATGAATCTCGTACATGCATTCATTATAAAGTGAATAAAATCACTTTTCAGAAATATTTAATAAGTACAGAAGATAATTCTAACAGGAATTTTGTGATTTCTGGACAGATTGATAATTTTGTCCAGTATAGGTATGGTGGAGTAATGGATAGCAGCTCGGATTGAGGAATCAGAGAGCCAAGTTTGAATTCCAGTCGAATCTATTACATTCACTTACATGCTAATACCCTTGGGAAATGTATGAATCCTCTTCTCCCCCACCTATGGGTAAATAGTAGGACAGACTGGGTCCTATAGCCTTGGATGGCAACTGGTCTACTGCAGAAAGAAATGGCAACCTACTGTGGGAAAAAACCTGCCTCATCAGTCATGTATCAAAAGATACATGATCGCCTAAGCGTGTATCACGCATGGCACATAACTGACTGATATGTATGCTAGGATGTGTGTTGTGGTTATCAACTTGGAATTAGAAATCATTGAGCAAAGTTTAAATTCCAGTCAGGTTCATTACATTTACTTGGGAAAAGTATGAATCCATTTTTTCTCCTCCCAGCTATGGGTTGAATTGCAGGATCGACTGAGTCCTATAGCCTTGGCTGGCAGTCAGTCTACTGCAGAAAGAAACGGTAAGCTACTTTGGGAAAATCTTCTAACTCGTCAATCATGAATCCAAAGAGGCCTGATCATCCAAGCATGTATCATGTATGGCACTTGACTGACTGACTGACTGATATATACAATACAGGCCAAAAATTTTGAGCCCTCTTCTGGATTTCAAAGAATTACCTAAAAATTGAAGGTTGCGTGCCTTTTTCAAAATGAATTTACTGGTTCACTTTGGCCCGTGGGGACTTTCTCTTCCTAAAGGATTTTATCATATATTAAGTAACTGGTTTAAAAGTCACTCTGTCAGGTGGGATTTAAGCTAGCTCCTGCAGAGGGCCTTCATCACAATAGGAAGAAGTAGATGCAATAGGCAATAAACTACTGAAGAACCCAAAATTGATCACTGCATTTAAGTATCACATTAATATTTATGCTTACCTTTTAAAAGTTCAATGATAATTCTTCTGCCACCACTTAATTTAAAGACAGTTTGATGCACGTAGATCCTTACTTTCCATACAAACAATTATTTTCATTTCATCAGTGACTTTCGCTGGATTTCATAATTAATTTGGATTATTTCCAAATTTATTTCTATATTATAAAAATTGTTATTGTACAAAAAAAATTGTTGCAAAAAATCATGTAAAAAAAAAAATTGCCAAAAACAATTGCAATGACGAAAACATAGGAATCCAAAATTTCAGGATTGTGGGTCCGGATCCAGCCCAGAATGTTTTTAATTTTCTCATGGAGTTTGCCTGATTCCAAAATGGTATGATATGTTGGGCTACGGCGGCCTTTTAGAAGTAAAGTTGAAAAAGGGTGATACACTGACATTCGTATTTATTACATAGATAATAAAGAAATTAACTCATTACTTAAAGTTTCATTAAAACTTTAACTTTTTTTGCCTTATCTGCTTTCTGGCTAACGGTAATCTTAAAAATTGGATGCCATGAACTAATGGATTAAATAGTTTCAGCATCCTATATTAGTAAGAGTTACCATAATTCCCCATGTATAATATGCCTTCATCCATAATATGCACCCCTAAAATTGTGATGAAAGTGTGGAAAAATGCTTCTACTGACACATAATACACACCCCTTATTTGGTAATCAAACTGTATAAATTGTACCTCACCAATTTCATTACGGCCAGCATTTCCTGCTCTTATTAAATAAGTGCTTTTAAATAATGTATTTAGTTTTATGATAATTCTTATTTTATTTTACATTTGTAAGTATTGTTAGGTATATCTGATTGTATTTGGCATCCTTATGGGGTTGTAATCACCAAATGTTAGTGTCAAATTGTTGTATGTGGTGAGTAGTCATTTCGCAACTGAAATTGACCTATGAAACAGCAATTTTTTAAAGATTTTTTTGTAATTGTGCATAATACGCACTACTAATTTTGCTTATTATTTTTTAGAAAAAAAATGTGTATCATACATGAGGAATTATGATGAAACTTACTAATTATTAAATCCAGAGGGTGGTCTAAGACTTTGGCCTCTAGTGTAAATCACAAAATCCTGTTTTTTTATGTTTTCTATATGCGGAAATGTTTGTTAAAAATCAGAGGAAATATTGTGCACTCACAAAATAACAATTTCTCATTGCATATGTAACTATTCATTCCATCCATTTTTTTTTTATGAATATTTGAAATAAGTTCTCTTCATTGCATTCCATCTTTTGATGATTATTCACAATGTTTTTCTCTCTCTCTCTCTCTCTCTCTCTCTTAAACCTTCTACATTGAATAAATCACATGTGGTAGGAGTAGAAGTTTTGGAAAAGGTTAAGGTTATAAAAATTTTTATTTTGACATATTTTTTTGAACAAATAACTTCCTCATCATGATAATAGTGATAATGTTAAATGAACTAACAAGGCTTGTGTAATAGTAGAAATTCCAGCTTGGGGAGATTTGGCACAACCTTTTATTTCAAATTTATTTTTCACTTTGTGTATTACCACCTGCGGATCTTTCTTGAACTGTTCTTGTTTTCTTAATGGCACTCATTTTTTATCACTTCTGTAATAACAACATCTATCTGTCTCCCCCACACTTCTTTCACTTAAAAGCTAAACAGTTGGGCACCTTCTCTTTAACTTATGCCAAGTAAATATGATGGGGTGCTGAAAAGTTCTCAACCCAGCCCACTTTCCAGAATCTCACTAAACGACCAGTCATTTATTTACATCTGTCTATTGTTCAGAGATTTTGTTTATTTGCCTTCTAAATTTGACAAATGATCTGGTTCCACATTTGACAGTTTTTGTTTTTGCCTTGTCACCTGCTGTCGGTGCTGCAAAGGTGTCGGTGCAATCCATCTTTATTATGCTGGGGAGGTGCTGCTTCCGAGTTGGAATCTCCAGGGAATAGGTACATTTGCTTTTGTGCCTTGTTCTAACCAAAGACAAGACAGAGCTGATTATGGTAATTTACTTTACAAAATGGTTGCTATTGGTTGGTTGTGGATCTCCTGCTACACTTTTATTCTTCATGGCATTTCAGAGTTCAAAAAGATAGTGTCCGTTTTCTCTCCAAGTATCAGCAAATAGAACTGAGTTATACATTGAAAGGTCAACGTTTTGACTTAACTGAGCCTTCTTCTCCAATGGTAGCTCATACCAGTGTTGAGACCTTTTTGAAAATATCTGGTGACAAAGCTTAAGAAGAGGTGAAATTGTCTTTTCTAAAGAAACAAGCAGCTTGAAATATAAATTTTGTTTTGTTAATAAAAACATCTGTAATTTCTAATTAGTCTTATATTTTATTATTTTTAATTATTGTAATTCCACTGTTTCAGATATGTTCTAGTCTCAAGGACACTCCCAAATTAAAAAAATAAAATAAAAAAACATAAAATTATGAAAAATAATATTTGACCTGGAGGATTTTTTTTTTTTTTTTTTTTATATTTAGCATCGAGAGATATGATATTTTAACGGAGCATCAGTTTTACTGTATGATTGACTGTGATAGCTTGCATTTCATGGTCATAATAATTGTTCAATATGGCACATTACTACACTTTCATATTGAACTTTCTTGTTTACTTATGATGTCATTATTTAGCCCCCTCTCTTCTATATTTGCTTGTTAAAGGATCTGGTCAACTTATAAGTCATGTCTGCACTATGATAGTGATTGAATAATATTTTTGCTCTTAAATATCTTAATGATCACAAGGGATTTTTTTTGTACAGTTTTAAACAAGCTATGACATCACAGTATGATTCTATCCTACCTGTCTTTTTCATTTATTTGTGATTTTAAAGTGTCTTTTTCCATTTAGAAAATAGTGGCAATGAAGTTTGTCATGCTATAATTACAATGCATTTTAAAAAGAATTACTATCAGTGAGCTAAAAATAATCTAATACAAATTATAGTAGTTCTTCTCTCATAATAACAAAATCTTTTATGGCATCAGAAGTGGTCTATCTATCTCTCTCTCTCTCTCTATATATATATATATATAGTAATTCTTTTATCTCTATGTATTGGACTCCTGGGATTTTATTTATATATATATATATATATATATATGGCCTGATGAATGATTGCATTTAGCCTGAAATAGTCTGTCATCTCTGAGTGTTGACTTCAATGTTCACTTATATATATATATATATATATATATATATATATATATATATATATAAAAAGGTATGTGCAAAAAGTTATCTATGTTTTTATTTACAAACATTGGTTTCTACTGTGGATTGTATCTAATTTTTTTTTCAAAAAATGGGTTCTGGAAATTTTTTTGGCACGTAATTTAATTTTGGCTAAGAATGCTTGAAAGTGACTAAAACTCCCATTTCTTTTCAACAGAAAAGTGTCCTTTTTAGTTTTATAGAACGATAGGATAAGTGAAATGTTTTTAAGTTTTGTCTTCCACCTCCTTCCAAACCGTAAATGTTTCTCTTCAATTAAATCTTATTCCCCAGCCTCTCTTCCTTTGTATGTGTGGGAGGTGGGTAGTTTGCAGCTTCCTATTTCATTTTTCTCTCTTTTTATGGAAATTCATTCATCATTTCACCAACTAACATCTGGCTTTCCTTTCTTTTTTTTTTTTTTTTAGGATGAGTCAGGGACAAACATTACCTCTGTAGTTTAATTGTATTTCAATTGTCAAGCCTTAAAGACACCTGAAAATATTCAATTACAAATACCTACTTCTAAAATCACAAATTTGGCCAGCCTATTTCTCAGCTTTTAATATTAGTTGGCCTCATTAGAAACAGTTCTTTTGGGACTTGACACATGTTGGATAGTTTTCTTAAGACTTATTCAAAATATTATAAATAAAAAATGAACTATTTCTTTCTATCATAAGCTCTGTGAGAGGTAACTTGATCAGTAGATTCTGTGTTTATATAATTTGTTTATTTTTGGTGACTTTCTTGATTTGGAAGACTGAAAATGTTAGGGAGCCACATATTTTCCTATTGGTAACACTTAATCACCCACTTTACAGAAATCATACTAATTCTAAAAAGTATCTGAACTTAAGAGATTAGGATGAGAGATTATCAATTTTCCAATACTTACAGGTATTAACAATACAAATCATTGAGTCTAGCAATTATCAAATTTTATTTATTTATTTTGTAGATGATGCCGATAGTTCGTACGTGGTCTTGCATCATTTCCATCCTGTGAGAAACACATACGAAACATTGCAAACTGTGTCAGACTCTAGCAACGGCATAAGACAACCTCTTTCACTCCGTGGCAAGCGAATTTACCGTCCCAAGAGAAGACTGCTTAATGAGTACGCAGATGATGTCTTTGAATCTGAGGATAGTGCTGGATCGAAAACCAGTCGACGATACCCTCTGCAAGTGATTCCTGAAAATGAGCGCTCGGATAGTGAAGGCAAGGATTCTGACGAGATTGGACATAGTTCTGAGCTACCCTCCTCAGAAAACAATGATGACACAGAATCGCAAGTGAAACAAAGTTCTCCTATTACAACTGATACTCCTGTAGCTGCTGCTGATTCAAGTACTCTAAATGGTGACCAGAAAAAATTCAGTTCTGCACAACCCATGGTGAACTGTATCATAGATGTTTAGATGTATTAAAAACCAAAAAAAGATTAATTTAAGACAATGAGAAGAAGAATTTTTTTTTTTTTTTCACACAAGTACTTATTCTTTTTTGCTTAATTTTCTTTCTTCTCAAAGTAGTAATCATTTAATGAACTGTGTTTTGATGGGAGAGTGCAAATATGATTTCAAATTGCAGCATATATACACTGTAGGCCAAAAGTTGGGCTATCCTCTGGATTTTGAAGAATCACCCAAAAATTGATGGTTGTGTGTCTTTTTCAAAACTAATTTACTCAGTTTGAGCAAGAGGAAATTTCTCTTCCTGAAGCGTTTTATCATATGTTTGATGATGTTGATAATAATAATAATAATAATAATAATAAAATTAACCTGTTACTGTATAAAGTTTCCTTAAAATTTTAGCATTTTTTGCCTAATCTACCTTGCTGGTAATCTTAGAGCTTGCAGATTTTTCAATGAAAAATAATGGAATACCATACACTAATGGGTTAAATAAATGCAGCATCCTAGCTTAGTAGGATTTACTTAAACCAAAGAAGATGTGAAACTTAGTCATTCTTAAATCCAGAGTGTGACCATCCCCCCCCCCCAACTTTTGGCTTATAGTGCATGTTATTTTTTTAAATTTTTTGTTAAAAGTTGAAATTTTCATAGTATCTTTACTGAATTCTAAAAACGTATGTTTGGTCACATTCAGGTATTTTACTCTATAATTTGTAGAGGTATATATGAACTCCCTCAAAACAGAGTGAAATGTGTATATTTTTTTTTCCAAATAATCATAAAACTTATAATGGTAGTAACCATCCAATATTATTATAACAAGAGTGGAAGAGATGGTAAGTGCAAAATGGTATGCTGTTTGTATAATTGTGGATTTTTTTTTTTTTTTTTTAATTCAAAATATGTATTTTTCTTGTTTATTACTTTTGTGTTGCTTATCATTGGTTGTAATTACTGCTGCTCTGATTGTTGTAATAATAACTTATGTAACCTTTCCACCATTTTGTGAATGTTGGTGTATGTGTGTGACATGGCTCATCTACTACAGAGGGTTGTTCTTGAAGTAAATATTGGTAGCTTGGTTACAAACTAAGAACATTCGTGTACACATTTTGCACATACTCTATCACATTCACTTCACTTGTGTTCTTGTAAAATCTACAATAGTCGGTAGTTATCTAGATTTTACTGTAATCATTGTCTTATACACATTTTTGAATAATTGCTACAAAAAAACTTTGTTTTACTGCCAAATTTTTTAATTTTTAATATTTTTTTATTGTTTATGTTGGTTGTGAAGAATCATTGCTTGGGGGGGTGATCGATTCTGAGGGAAAGGGAAACACTCAAATATTACAGTAGGTACCTCCACTAAAATCGTGATACCTAAGAATAAAAATGAATTTTTATAAATGAAAAAGTTTTCTTGAAGCTTTCATTTTAGCTTTAATTGAAAGCTAAAGGATTAACTTTACTATTTCCAGTAAGTAAATTACTCTGTTGCATTTCAAACACAAATTATATTGATTGGAACTGGTATTTTTTAATTTTTTCCAAAATAGCTGATTAGCACCCTTTTTTAGTCGTTTTTCATTGCAATGTAATTCTCTTTATTAAAAAAATCTTCCAAAAATAAAATATACTTTTCTGAAACTTTATTTGAGGAATATTAGCTGATTTAAAGTATAATTAATCGGATCTTAAAAAAAAAATATGTTTACTTTTAAGTTAAAAATAACAAAGGAATGGATTTTTAAAATAAAGAGTAGCGGCAATTGACTAGCAACAAAAAGCACATAATGCTTTTCATTGTTCGTCAATCACTTAACAAACACTGAAGTTGTTGAAAGGTTTATTGTTTCTACAGAGACTTTATCTGCTAAAATATAATTTAAGAAAATAACAGGTGAGCACTTTTTATATATATAATTTTTAAGTACTCCGTAATCTTAAAAATGTTGGAAATATTCTCTGTAATCTAATTTTAAGAATGTTGGCTTTCAATTTACTATAGTCATCAATCTTATTTTCTGATGTCATGTATGGTCACCCATACTTTTAAAATGGGCACATTTATACAAAAAATCTTGGTGCAGGATATTTGCATTAAGCTTTTCAATTTTTGCTTAGTAAATATAGTCTTTATTTAATAACCTAACGAGGAGGAAGCTTTGAAGAATTTTTAAAAGATTTTTTAAACTTTATAAATTATTATAATTAGAAAAAAAAAACAGAAAACAGATATATATATATATATATATATATATATATATATATATATATATATATATATATATAATCAAATAACTAATAATTTCAAAAATAAATTCATTCATTTGTGAATAAGTCCTGAAAGTTTCATTAAATTTTGACAATTATTTAATTTTTGCAAGAATTTTCAAATCAATGTGTTATTTTACTGGAAAAAAAAAAAAAAATAAAATTTCCATAGTCAACTTTGTTACACTGTTGATGCATTAAAAAACAAGATTTTAACCACAATTTTGAACACTTAAGAAAGAAAAAACTTTTAAAATAATTAAAAATACTTTGGTCTTTCCTCTTAATAAACATTTTTCCAATAAAACTTTGTTTTTTTTTATTAAGTTTGGGCCTTTTTTCATCATGCTATGCTGATTTTTAGCAGAAAAGTGGAGGTACCTATAGTAGATTTGACATACTTTTGTCAAATGAAATGTTTACACCATTTTGGGGTGTATTTCAGTTCTGCTTTATTTTACAGGGTGTCCTCAACAGATTAATCTCACTAAGAAATCTCTTATTGATTAGTAAGTAGCATTTTTTATAAAAGGATGAACAGAGGAAAAAAGAAACTTGCTATAAACATTAGGGTAAAGTTCTTAATTTAATTTTTTTTTTTTTTTGTTAATGTAGTAAATAAAATCTTGGTGAAAGCTTTCTTTTTCAAACATAAGTATATAAGTTTAGTTACTTTAAGCTTAAACTGTTTAATATTTATGCAATGAGAAGTTTTTAGCCTGTCCTGGATTATTACCCAAGGCTTGAGAGTTTATGAACTTGAAAGATTTAAATTATTTTTATGAGGTAGCAACAATGAAATGATTTTGATTAACAAAACATTAGGATGATGTTATTTGTAACTTTGTAGACCTTTTTTTTAAATGACCCTCCTTCCATAAAACATTTCTGAATCATTAAGTAGCCTTTATGGATAAATTGAATATTATATATTTCAATTTTAATTGCTTGAATTGAAGAGAGGTTCCTTTTTTTTTTTTTTTTTTTTTTTTTACCCCTGAAAATCTTGAAATTTGTTTTGGATCACTATTTGAAAGATCATTAAATTTTTATAAATTGCTATAAAAAAAAAAAAAAACTTTATATACAAGTGTGTGCTGAAATATTCTTGGCTCAACCCACTTTTCGAAATCAGTATTTAAATGACTATACATCTGAATACTGATTTTTGCAAAGTGATTCAAGTAAACTTTTCAGCACCTTTTGTATGATATACAGGGACAGTGCTGAAAAGTTCTCAGTCTAACCCACTTTCCAAATGACCAAACATCAAAATTTATTTTGGTATCTGTTTTTAATTGCACCAAATTTTTCAGCACCACCTTGTTTTTCTGTCTATCATATTATATATGGATGTGTTTATGTAGTCTTCATTGATTTTTTTTTTTTTTTTTTTTTTTTTTTTTTTTTTTGCATGAATTTCATTTTTTAATATAAATGATGAAACTTATGTTAAGTTTTTTCATTAATATCCAAAAACTGAATAAGACAACAAATTTAGAAATAATTTTGTTTATTCTTTCACTAACTCATATCAATTTTTAGAATGATATTTTTAAAATTGTTGAATTTTTAGAAATTTTTTAAAATAGGTTTGCCTAAACAGATTTCTCCTAAAAAAAGAAAATACACGCACACACATGCACACACATTAATGATTCCTTATATAGTATTTATATAATGCTCTGCATATGGTAATGTTCGATGATCCTAGGTCTTTTGAAAAAAAAATTTTTTTTGTGCTGGTGGTCTGATTCTCTTTTACTCATCCTTTTCTCTCATGAAGCCACATAATTGACTTTATTTCAAGAGACAAGTCATCACTTTTACAACACTAAATCTAATTCTGAGGAGCACATTCAGATATTACTTCATTTCCTTTCACTTCTCAAGTTATGTGAGCAGTTTCAGCAGGTTTGAAGCCCTCTTTAAAATAATTCCTTAAATTGACAGAATCTCAATATTATACCTTCTGAAACAGTAAATACAGTTTAAAAGTCATATATTTTCAGAATTACTCTTTAGATGTGTACATGAAAAAGTGAATCATTTTGATACAAATAAATGATAAAAAATAATATGTGCACAATGCATTTTATTATGTGTATGCTCCTAGTAATTAAGTACCAATAACAATAACAAAAAAATATTTTTTCAAACAAATTTGTACACCTGTCCAATATGACAAAAGCAGAAGAAATTATTCGATAATGCCCCCCACTCTCTCTCTCCAACTCGGTCATTCCTTGAGCTACTGCATGGTTGGATCAGGTGGTTCTTGTTCATGTTGACCATCACATCTCCAGTGAGGCAGTTACTGGTTGGTTTCCCTTTCAATGACACCCTAGAAATAGTAGCACAAGGGATTCAAATCAGGAGAGCTTAAAGGCCACATGTAGAGATATGAAAATTCTTGACCAGTCATTCTTAGGCTGTGTGGGAGAGAGCAGTCTCTTGCTGGAACATGTATGGCCACCTACCTGAACCTGGAATGATCACCGTATGATGCACATCTGTGGAGGCAGAGGCACTGTGAGACAGCACAACATGGCTTTCACTGCTGATGAACTTTATGTACATTCCTATGAAGTCTGCACAAGTCACCCGTCCTTTCTCTTGTTCACCTTGAAACTTTCCCGAAGCTAGCTATCTCAAAGTTGTTTTGGTTAGCAGTTAATGTCATGTTTTTGCCTGTGTCACATTGGAAGCTGCCATGTTAA